CACTGAGTTGAAAGCTGAGGTCAAGTCTTTGGAAGAAGGCCAGTGACCGCGTCAAAGTGTTCATTACCTTTGTTACCGCTTGGATATTTCCTTGGGTATATTTTGGGGAGCGCCAACAACAGTGTTTCTTGGCATTTCAACCTTAAGCTGGCTTGACCCGTGTCAGGCGTGGCAAAAGATGCTGCTGGCCAGTCTTCGCAGAATTGGAGCCTCGACCTTTCGATGATGAAGGCTGTGATGGAAAGTGGAAAGATGTTCCTCGGCCTCGTTGATCAACTTTCGGGGCGCCAGCGACCTTGGGTTCAAACCTTGCTGAAGTCTGGTGTTGAGCCTGGAACACTGTCCTCTTCCTTGCGGTCACTCATTGAGTATGACGCTGACCGGTTCCTGCGTGCTGCCATCTCCTATGACTCATTTGTGGGAAATGTTCAAGATCTCGAGGGCAAAGAAGAGGATTCCGGTGATAACTTGTCAACCTTCCTCCATGACCTCCTGTCGTTGATGAGTGGGAAGCTGTTGGAAGGCCTGGGGCATCTGATTTGGTCAACGCGTCCCTGGGCATGGTCAAAAGATCCATCGAGAAATGGATGGCTGAGTTGACGGAAGTCAAAGGTCAAATTGAGAAGTCCCAGATGTTCCAGTTGCAAAAGAAGCTTCTGTCGCTTCTGCCAGCCTTCCAAAAGAATGAAATTGTGGAATGCTTGCCGCCCGTCGATGACCAAAAGAAGAGGGATGAAGCGGAAGTCGAAGTTCAAGAGTTGAACGAAAGCCTTGAACTTAGTTTTTTTCAGTCCAGCATTCATTAATTTGATCAAACTTCTCCTCCCTTTATTTATGAATTCTGAATTCAGGGACCAAAACGCTGATGGCCATCGAGTACAAGATTCGGGTCTGTCACACTGGTCTGAACAGCTCTGAGATTGGAAGCTCGCAGATTGCTGAGTCTGTGACGCAGCTGAACGATGTGTATGGCCGAGAGCCGACAGGCAAATCAATGGGCATCTCACTGGGCAGTATGTATGGATGCGATATCGTTTTCGGGCCGTTGAATCCAAAGCGCGCCATCCACAATGAAATCACCGATTTCTGGAAGTTCATCACCAGCCAGCTGCAGATTCACAAGCGTGACCTGAACAAGACTTTGGTGGACAAAATCGATAAACTGCAGAAGGACAGGATTCGTTCATTGATATGGTACTGGACAACTCGAACCGAACGGGAATTTGAGCAGCATCATCGTTCAGATTCAGACACTAAAGAAACAGCGCAGACTGAATTTGATGGCATTCCGATTCCAATGTTGGCAGGAGTCCAAAGAGAAGGAGAAAGCCAGCATGCCGCCGCCAGCTCAAGCTGCTCCGAGGAGGCGGCAAACCGGCAAGGCCTCACAGTAGTGAGTCAGTGAGTGAGTGGCATTTGACGAAGCCACTCAGGGCTCCGTGTGCTTACTTTGTTGTTCCGTCCTGCTCGTGGCATTTTGCCATCCTTTTCAATGTACTGATCCGGAATCAAAGCGATTGTGATCAGACCCAGACTGTGAATCAGTCATCTTAATTGTGAGCTGTGAGTCATCCAGCTCTCCGTCCAAAACGGACGACAAAGGGAGAACAGAAGCGCAGGAGTCACTTTAATCGAGTGATCGGGGAAAATGATATGTGAACTTGAGCAGTGGTAGACAAACAGTAGAACGGTATCTACACTGTAGAAGCTTTCAGGCTGTCACTGTGTGGATTTTTGCGCCAGGAATGCTCCGGCCAGGGCAGTCGGGGTTCCATTACACTAAATCAAAGGGAACGTGCCACTGAGCTACGCCGTCAATTGTTCGGTGATTTGCCAGACTGTGAGTTTGAGTCGCGCCTTGTATGTTTTTTTCGATTCAACATTTTTTGTTGAGGTGTTGCAGGTAGGTAACTATCACATCAGCTGGTGTGAGACTTCAACTCGGTAGTTGCAAGGCACTCCAACTGGGCCAAGAAACACGTCGGAGCAGCGGTGTGGGAACGTTCAGTACGCCTTCGAGAAGAATGGACTATCGACATGGTTTATAACCTAGCCAAGAGGAAGGGGATATGTCCGACTAATGTGATCTTGGACATTGCGAAGTCGTTTCAGCGCAACGCATGGAGATCTGATGGGAAAGTGCCGACGTTGCTTGCCATTGTCAACAGACAAGTGAAGTTAAGATTCAGCCAAGACTTCCCTCTCACTCACCTGATTTTTGCGGGGGTGTGTGTGTGTGGGGGTGCGATGCTGCAGGCTCACAACGAACTCCCGCCTCTACTCCTACGAATTTGGGCGGGTACTCACCGGTGAAGAACTTCTTTTGCTGCAACTTTGAAAAAATTGAATCTGAGTGCATTTTTCAGAACTTCAGGTGATGTGTTTTTCCCTTCAACAGAAACATGACACATGATCCTAGGCAAGGGTTCGATCTGATGTCCTTGCACATGGCCGGTTTCCGCCAGCTCTCCCTGTACAGTCTTATGGCTGGAAACTGCATGAGTGTGCCGGTGATCGGAAGCGTATTATTGGCTGCAACCTGGCCTTTGAGCTGTGTTGGGGTGAGGGTGATGTCTCAGGTCACTTATGATTTGATAGGAGATTCGACATTCAGCATATCACATTTATCCTGGATCCTGAATCATTGAAGTTCAAAATCCGGGATGCGTCCCACAGAACCTGGATTCGGATACTCTGCTTGTTTTGCAGTCAACTGATTGTGTAAAGCATTGTCCGCCGAATGAGGTGTTGACAACTGCTTCTTTTGGCAATGGGCGCAGCCACATGAAAAGATCTTGGGCTCCGGCTCCGAATGCCCTGGCATCAAGCCAAACCAGTGAAGGGACTCTTTCTCTAGGTGCGGCAGCTTGGGAGTGCGCCGATGATAGTGACTCCGAAGGAGCTGATTCGGATGTTTGAAGAGCCAGGCTGCCCCCAGGTTCGGATACTATGTAATTTACCATTCAACTGTATATTTTGACCTATGTTTACATACGGTATGATGATGGCTCATGAATCGCTTCGCAAGCAATGGTAGGGGTAGCGGCTCTGTGAAATTGGAACTTACAGTCCGGAGTCCTCTAGTTTTGTTAGATGGTAGAGGCAGAGGTCCAATGTCAGCGATTGCTGGAGAGCATTGCGAAACAATGCCGTTCGCTGATAAAGGATACCGATCCTGCGGACCCTCGCAAAGGAAAACACATGAGTGCTGAATGCTTTGTGGTGCTGTGTACTCAGTATGAGATTGATAAATACGAGCTGCTACTACTACTACTACTACTGAGTAACTTAACTACTAACTATGACTCGACTCAGACTCTGACTAAACTTTTGCTTTTACCTGTTGGCTATGCTTTCCAGAGGGTGTGGTTGCCAAGAATGACAGCCAAGTGGTTTTGCCATCCCATTTTGCCAAGGGCATTTGCCAAGCATTTTTGTTATCTAAATTTGCCAAGGTGATCTGCCAAGCATATCTTTCCAGCACCTTTGCCAGTCAATTCTGCCGAGGTGTTTTGCCATCCCTCCACGCCGCCCCAAATAGGGTTCTATTCTTACCGCCCCATCCTGCCACCCCATCTCGCCATCCCATCTCGCCAGCCAAAACGCTCCAATGTTAACCTTACCCTGCCCTAACCAATTTATATTTATTTCATTTTTCATTAAAACCATTACTGATCTAGACCACTTCCAATCTGATCCACCACTTAGCATCGCTGAAGAGCTGGCCTGCGCCCTATTCACACCGGGAAAGGTTATTGGGTGGAACGGTCAATCGATGTCAACGCTCAGAACCCTCACTGGCAGGCGCAGCACTTTGTGAACCTGGAAGTGCAGATTTCGTCGCAGGCACAGCGCCTTGCGAACCTCGGAGTGCAGATTTCGCGGCAGGCAAACCTCGAAGTGCAGATTTCATGGCAGGTACAGCATTTTGTGAACCTCGAAGTTACAGTACATTCATGCCTCTCGACATCATCCACGCGCATTTCGACTGCTCAGGCTCGCAGAATCTGGGTGGCCGCAGTGGGTGCTTCTAGCGACTGCGCTCTCGTTGTGGCGCCGTGCGCATTTTGGTATACGGTGGTCACTCTTCGTGGCAGGCGCAAGGGAAACGTCGTGTTTTGGCGCTCCAAAGTCGACTTTTCGTGTCAGATGCGAGGGATCGGAGCTGTCTTACTTCGAAATGCAGTTTCCGTGGCAGGCGCAGCACTTTGGACATGGTGGTGATCGTCGAAGAAACCACATTTCGTGACAGGTGCAGTGAACCGTGACTTTTGGACATGTGGCTCGTTTGCAGACTTCGTGGCAGGTACAGCACTCTGTGACCCTTGATGCGCAGATTTCGTGGCAGGTGCAGCACTTTGTGAACCTCGAAGTGCAGATTTCGTGACAGGTTCAGCACTTTGTGAACCTCAAATGGCAGCTCACACCTACCCACTCTCCCACTCGCAGACTCTCACTCGCTCTCACTCACACTCACACTCACACGCACACTCACTCACCCACACTCACTCTCACACTCACTCTCACTCTCACCTTCCCTCTCACTCACACTAACTCACACACTCACACTCACTCTCATTCACTCACACTCACTCACTCACTGTCACTCTCACTCTCACTCTCACTCTCACACTCACTCACTCACTCTCCCACACTCACTCTCACACTCACCCCCACTCACTCACCCACCTTCAGTCTCCCACAAACTCACACACTCACTCTCCCACTCTCACACAGACACACTCTCACTCTCACCCACACTCACTCTCACTCACACTCGCACTCACACTCACTCTTCCACTCTCACTCACACTCAGACTCCCTCTCACCCACACTCACTCACACCCACCTTCACTTCATCACCACCATCACCTCTCTGGACCCCAATGCGTCTAGATCTCTAGACTTTCTGCTTACAGACCTCACACACACATAATACACATTTTTTGGGGTCTCTTGCCGGGATAATGATTTTTTAAGGGACACTCCTCAGCATCCAGGCCATGAAAGAAGCCGATGCGTTGTTGCACCACAAAGCAACGCCCTTGATTCACAGTAAAGTCGACACTTGGGCGCCAATGGTGTGGTCGTCCTCGATTTCTCTAAGGTGGTCAGTGGCGAGATTCCTGGCGTGATCAGTACCTTGACAAAGGATTCATTCATTTCACTGCTATCCCCCAGCTTTGGCCAAGGCATGGTGTTCAGGTTGGGACTGAATTGTTCTTGCCCACACTGTTTCTGATCAAATTCACTTCTTCCACGCAGGCATGGTGTTTTGGGACACTTGGATTGCTTTGGTTTTGCCGATGTGGAGAGACAGGCTCGAGCGGCTAGGATTGATTCACGGATATCATCAGTCTATCAAAAAAGTCGACATGTTCGCCGGTTCACCTTGCAGGTGGCGATGCGGCCCGACACTATCGTCCGGCTGTATTCGATGACCAAATGCATCGTGTCCGTGACCTTGGGCACCTGTTTGGAGGCGAAACACGAAATCCATTGAAGTCTAATGTTTACAGTTTTACAATATGTTGTAATCAATCTAAACAAACTGTTGCATAATGATTTGCTTGTGAATCCAATGATTTATATGATTATATGAGTCTTTATATTTGCATAGTAGCAGGAAGGGCTGCTTGACCTTGACGATGAGGTGTCCAAGTGCCCTTGTCTTTTGGCGAAATCGAATCGTTGCGGTTGCGGCTCGTGGGTTAGATATGGGTTGGATGATACATGTTGAAAAGACATGTATATAAATAAAGTAAAAAATGCGTGGGGTTGTCAGAAACAAGCAACCGCAGGCGCTGTAAGCATCCGTAAGCAAGGTACATTCCTGCTTTTGCTGCACTTAAAGTCTCAACAGAGGTCGGGTGCCTCGGAGTTGACTTCCCGTGTTTGTATGCGTAGCCTGCATAGACATCCGGCGAGTACGTTGCACTCGTCAGGAAGGACTGGTTGCTGCACAGCGGCCTTTGACAGCTGGATCCCAGTCCAAAATGATCGAAGGGAGGGGAGTTGTGACATTCCAGGTCCTGCACTTGTTGACACATACATCTGGGATCGGCTATGGCCAGAGTCTTGGAAGCTGCAGACCTAGTGATTTCCGGACTCATTTGGAGTCACGCAACCGAGGGCCAATGCTGGGTGAGGAACCAGGATGTGAGGGCGAGGAAGCAAAGTCGCCCGAGTGATATTCGTGTATTTTTATATAGTATACACAGCTTGATATCAGGGCCCAGGGTTCTACATCTCAGTTTGTCAACGATCACACTGTGCAAAACTGAGCAAGCTAAAACATGTCAGGAAAAGGAATTGTTGAAGTTTTAAGTTCTATATAAGTATATAAGGATTAATTTTTCTCGACTGCGTAGCGAAGACAGGGATTCTTCTTTCATATTCGCAACCGTTCGCAACCTGCGAATTAAAACGATAAGGCCCTGCCGTTGGGGGCAGCTTTTTCAGGAGGTCTAGCTTGGATGGAAGCATGAAGCGTCAGATTAGTGTGCAATAGCGCGGAAACGTAACATGTTCAAGTGTGGATAGTTTTGCTGCGCCTGCGCAGCGTTTCACGTCAGCATTTTGCGGCGCTGTACGGAGTGACGTTCTCAGGGTGGTTGTTTGGAGGTGTTGGTCGCTGTGGATGGAGCTCTGGATGCGGCCTCGAAGCTGTGTTTTCAGGAGTAATCATATAGTCTCAGCCAAACTCGCAGTTTGGAAGGATCTGAGTAAAGCAACGGGCCAATATCATTCCAAAGTTGTGTGACAAGAGTGTGATAAGAGCGAAAGCAAAAGTGTGGCACAAACGTGCCCTTCAAGAGTGTCGCAAAAGAGTGTCACCTACAAGGGTGTCCAACAAGAGTGTCACCCCAGAATGTCAGACAAGGTCAATTTCTCCCTCCAAAGTTTGCATGTCAGTCCGAACGTCTCAGATAGCTATGGTTTTAATTCAATTTGTCTCATCCATCGTGAACCAACTCAGATTTGTTATGATTTCATGTTTATATATGAGTTGACTCCAACTCAGTGATGAAGTAAAGGCGAACGTGAGGGCTGAAGAGGTGTTGTATTTCACTCACAGCGTGCCCTTGCAAAGCGCGGAGGAGCGCTACAAAGAGTTGATCCTGCGTGCTGGCCTGGGAAGAAAGTGCAAGAGTTCCGAAGCGGCGGATACCTCAGTCCGCTGTGCGCTTTATCGTCGCAAACAGGAAAGGCTTCAGTATCCTTCATTGAATCGAAAGAGTCTTGTTGCAGTTTGATTCGCCTGACGGAGGTGTGCACACTTGAAAACTGGTGCGATGAGCTGGCTAAAATCCCTTTGCAACATGAACCTGGCACGCAGCCAGGTCCCCAGATAAAGAATGATAAAGACACTGGGAATGGTCAGGGTAGGGGAGTGCGGGGCGGAATGTCAAACAAAATTGCCTTTCTTCAGGGATTTGTTGTGGGCACAAGCAAGCCACATTATACTGTTAACCTACAAGCTGGTTCTGGACTGGCACGGTGCAGAGCTTTCTATATAACCCGTGAGTCGGAGAGGTAGCTCGGTGTTGAGCGAGAGGCGAGCTATCCCTTGGATGTAGCACGATTTGCAAGCGATAGCAAGAAAGCTAGCTCTGGGTCAGGATCGGCTGTAAATGTAGTGCCGGGGCGTTGACCAAGCTGAATGGGCAGAACTTGGCGTTGAGTTGGCTAGGCCTAGGCACTGACTTAGCTAAGTGCTGAGGAGGCTTGGTGGTGATCTTAATTCGGAACCCCACTGCGCCCTAGCTAAGTCCTTAGCCAAGAAAATTGGGGGAATTGCGCTTTTGAGGCAACATAAGTGTCGAGTTAGGTGCGTGTTCAGTTAGTTTGCAACCATGTTGAATGAGCAGCGCTGGAAAAGTAGAAGTGATGTATTTGCAAGTTGTCATGATTCGTGGTTGTTCCATGTTGTTCCAAGTGTTACAGTTGAACTCTTGTGTGATTTGTTCTGATTGCCCATGATGGTTGTCGACCTGCAGCTATTCCGATGTTGGAGGGAGCGGGAGAAACATGGAGAAACTCTTGTGCCCCGGACGGGTTTCAACGAGCTTTGGCCGGATCTTCCAACCAGCCATGTATGGCAAGCTTTGTGTTTGTCGCAGAATCCTGCGCCTCACACGGAAAAACTATGCTGTGCCACGGGCCATGGGTTTTCTCACCAGGACCAGACGCCCACGAGTGCCCGCGTGCCACAGTCGTTCGTTCGCTTGCTGTACTTCCATTACTGTATCAGAACAATTCGTGAATCTAAAATAATCCAATACTTGATATGTTTGTAGGTGGCTGTATGGCTATGGTCATGATGTGGTTGGACGCATCATCGAGGCGCCGGCTCTTTTGGTGCCCAATCGGGCCTGCTTTGGCTCAGCATGTTCAGCTTTTTGAACGATTGCTTCATTTCAAGAAGCACCAACGCTGACCGCTGACCAGGTAGTTACCGGAAAGAGACTTGACATTGTCATCCGGGACAGGGTCACGGCGCCTTTGAACATGGCCGCTTGCAATTTGACCAGGGGTGTGCTGAGCTATGTTGATACTGTAGGTGTTGTGTGAGTTCATAATTATATATGTCTGGGTCCTCCCTTCAGTGGGCCTGCCTTTACGGTGGTTCCAGGCCCTGCTCTGCTGGTCACAGAAGTTGATTGGCTTCCTTCGTTTCACAAGACCACTCGTCCATATTGCGTTTTTGGACTATTTTTCTTGGCATGCGTTCAATTATATATATATATAATGTCATATTATAAAGTCGCGGTATCCTTCAGGGTGCCCGCAAAATTTTTACCTTGCGTGCCAGTGCTGTGCTCGAATATCGGTGCTTCCGTGGCTTCCATGGCCTTCCTCCCCTGTTGTGCCCCGTCTCTCCGCTGTGATGCTTTGTTTTGAAGCCGGTGTTGTTGGATACGCACCCTCTCAAACTCCTTGTCTCTCCATGTGCCTGTTCTTGAACCCCGCGTCACTGTTGCTGGACCCTGTGACCCTTTTATATATCCCATGCAGCTGTTGCTGAACCCGTTCCAGGAGTTGCTTACGGTGTCCCTGTTGCCACACGGCTCCCCTTCCAATTTGTTCTTCGTGTACTCGGCGCTTATGGATGGATGGCCTTCTATTGATAGATCACGATGTTTAGGGCCATAATTCTGAGATGGATATTTCAACATGCAGATGCAGGCAAGCTTCAACAGTGACCTACTGTATTTGTCTTGAGCAAGTGTCCCTCCTGGAACAGTCACGCAATGTCCAGAGTAACAGCCCTGATCAGAACCATGTGCATTTGTTTCTCGCACGGATTTGCAAAGTCTGCAGGTTGAAGTTCCAAAGGCAGTAGTTGTTCCACCTTCACATGTGTTCTGAATTTCCACTCCTGAACGCTCATCCCCAAAGGAATCGAGTTCTTGAAACTCAAACAATGACATGGACAAAGCTTGCCTGACAGCTCATTGAAGCGTCCCCCACACCGGAACAAATAGGGGTCCAAAATATTTACACGCTTCTGTGGGTCTCTCCTGTCGCACCCCTTTAGATAGACCAAAAAGTGCTCCAGAATGCTCCAGACGTCTTCGTACGAAGCTTTTTGGAAAGCCAGCGATGATCAAACCTTCCAGGGTCCAGGGTGAGGAGACTCAAGAATTTCTCTAGGTGGTTTGACTCTCACGCTGGGAGCATTCCGGAGAGTCAAACAATGATCTTGACTGCGTAGTGGCGCAATGTAGAGGGACAATTTCATAGTCTTTTTGGTACCCCAATTTGATCCAATTTGTATCAATAAACTGTGTTGCTTTGCCTTGGGATTGGGACGTGGGTTTGTCAAGTTTTGCATTGTTCTAGGGTGTAGTAGTAGAAACCCTAAAAACCTAAACCCTAAAAAGCAAATTGATGCGGAGAAAGCACTTTTTCACGCAGGATCCCTGCCTGGCCTCTTCAATTGCCCGCGCACCGCTCCCGCTGTGCGTAGCGACCCATCCATTGATGATCAATCGAACCACCGCGTCAATCCAGCCACCTTTGCTTTCATCGTCCGAAGGAAGTCTCGCGACTGGACAGGGTTTTGCGAAGGGTAGTTTTCCCGTAGCTTCACAGATTTTAGCAGCTTCGCTGCTCCGGTCGGGGCGCGTCCGAACCATGGCCCCAAACTCGAAATTTTTGAGTTTGTATTTGTTATTTAATGCGTCCAGTTTATGGAGAGTTGGGATGTTCGACTTATATAGGCGAAGCAGACAAATTGAAAATGCTACTACGTTAAAAGCATATGAGTCAGAGTCAATATTATCGTCATGTAGCTTAGCTAGGGTGTTTCACGCAGCTAGTGTTTTTGTGTGTTCCTTGAAAAACGATAGGGCCAGTGAGATGGGAAGATCCTCAGAGAGTTGTCAGAGCTTGGAGCCGTTTTGGCCTGCACAGCAGGGGTCTACTCAGCTTGACCTTGATCAATGGGAAGAGCTCGAGAAAGAGTGCGGATCCGTTTTTGCTTCGATGTATGGGCGATTTCAACGATACCCGCACGATACCTCGCCAGGTACGTTTGCTCAGCCAAGTGACAAGATCCCCACACGTACACTTGGTTTGCTGCTGGCTGCCTGCTGCTGCTTCTGCTTGCTGCTTTGCTGCCGCTGGCTTGCGGCTGTTTATGTGCCCCTCTTTGTGTGCTAGTGCTTAGTTGCTGACCAGCGGCTAGTGTTCAACTGGCTTCAGGATTAAGGATCCTGCTTGCGTCATCTTGCGTCCACATTTGTAATACCATTCTGACTATATTTGTGTTATGCCCAAAGTGCTGAAACCTGAGAAACAGTGAATGCAGCCCCAACCTACAAGTTTGACGCTGGCTCATAAACCCCAGAGCATACCACATAGTCAAACATCCCGGCCCGGGAACGTCAAAATCCTCCACTCCCTTCTGTCCTTAGGATCCTTAGGATGATGAACAATAGCGGAGAGGTTTCTTTCATAAAACATCACTTGTGAGCACCACCTTGGCCAGCTTGAAGCTTGCACCATTGGATGTTTGTGGTGAGGGTTGTTGAAGAGTATAAGTTGACAAATTGGAAGTGCGGTACGTCGCCAAAGTCTTTGCAAATCGAAATTCCAGTCAAACATCAATTGTCAATACTTATATATTCCTATTTTTGGCGGAGCAGGGATTCTTTGCAGCGTCCTTATCCACTCCTGACGAAGTGTTCATCCCAGGTCGACACGGGCTTTGAGATACCGGCAGCAAAGTGGCCCAGCCGACAGTTTTATGCTTATTCAGCTTGGCAACCCCCCTGATATATATATATATATACCGCCCAAACTGCAAACAAGCTGATAGTTTGAGAGGTGGAGTCGCGCCGCCGGAATGCTGTGGCCTCAGCTACAATTTCTGGAGGCCACCTTGCGCCGAAGGGTGCAGACTGTTTTCAAGGTATCGACTTCACACCGAAGAATCAGAAGGGTGCGTCGCCCCAAAAAAATTGGTGCGTATCGTTTGGGGCTCAGGCCACGCAATCACAATTCCGAACGAGACACCGAATCAATCCTGCAAATGATTATCAAGCTGGATCTCCAGGACGCCCCGACCGTTGGATCCAACGAGCTTAGGGCTGAGACGCTTTTCGATCAGCTTATTTTTTTCACCCCTGTTGTACATATACATCGACCATACCGCGTGGACTTTGGCTCAAGAAAAAGGTGTAGCTTTTTTGCTGTTTCCTATCTGAAATAAAGTTGCCGTGGATGAGCTCATTGACGACCGCCCTCTGCTGGGGTCGTGGTCTTGCAGACCTGCTCACGAAAGCGGAAGAGCTGACGCAGGAGATCGTCGCCCGCAATGAGATCGAGTCGAGTACAACGGGCGGAAAGTCATCATTTTCGTCGCTTGGTCGGGAAACGATGTCTTCGGTGAGGGCGGTTATACGCCGGTTGTCGGTGGATCCATCAAGCCCGACACTTGAAGACAGAGGACGACCGGAAGGTCGCTGCCGATTGGTGCCTGAATCAAGAGGCAAGGGTGAAGGCAGCGATCGATGCCATCCCCGCTCTCAAGAATGGGGTAGGCGTCTGGGACCTGGTGTTGGTCGGCAACGCAGATGCTGCCGACTACAACCTTGTGGACCAGTACACGCGGGAGATGACCGCGTGCTACTTTGACGCGTTCCACAAACACCGGGTTATGGCACTCGACCTGACGCCCATGAATATCGGGGCCCATCGGTACGATGGCAAGCACATGGACGACTCAGACGCCTCGAAGACGGCCGCCTCGTCATGGTGGACAGCGGCCATAGGATTTCACCACAGCTACTTGCGCTACCTCCAGGCTCAACCCGAAATGGAGCGAGTAGCGGTGATTCCTGAGGGCGATGGCTTGTTCAACGAGTCCGTGACCAAGGAGCTTTTTGCGTACCCAACAATCAGGGAGGTACGGCGTAAGCTGAATGGTATGCTAGCCGGAAGGCCAGCCGAACATCGTCTACGCAGGAGCAAACTGACGTCATTGACGGATGTGATGCTGAGATTGCACTATGGGTGCAAGAAGCGATGGAGGAGGCTGCCGATATGGCTGCTGATGATCTCGTTGGCGAACACCTCTCCGAAGAGCAACCAGCGCTCCACCCCCCCGATGAGTGCGATGAATCGGATGAAGAGGAAGAGCGCATCAATGCGATCAAGAAGGCTGACAAGGACGAGGCCATTGCCGACGGTGCTGACGGCGCCCTAGACGAGCAATGGAACTCGGTGGCCGAGCCGGAGATGCTTGACTTCGGCATGTGGAGCAAGGTGAGCGCACCGGGCGTCAACGTCGGCCAGGTCGACCCCGCCCCTCCCACGGAGCGGGAGAAGGCAGAAGAAGGTGACATTGAACCGTTAAGTCAGCCGAGATCGAGGAATTCCCCGGCATGTCGCTCGACGATGACCTGGACGCCAAGGCCGGTGAGGGCAAGACGGCCGATGATGATGTTGAGATGCCCGACTACGGAGGCGATGACGATGAGGTCGAGGTCATTGAAGATGACGACGATGAGAAGCCCGCATCGGGTGAAAAACGCAAGCCCGAAGGCTTGCCGGAATCTTCTGCTGTTGGTGCTGCCGCCAAGGTAGCCACCAAGAAGATGCCCAAGCCATCTGAGCCTGCCCCGAGGCGAAAGGTCCAGAAGATCGTCCGGTACGATGACACACATGAGCGTGACGTGCCACAACAGTTGCAGCCCGGCGCTCAGGCCTATATCGGCCCAGAACATAATGCTCAAGGTCCCGGTCAGACCAATGAACGAGAGGCTCGTGGAGATCTCGCACAGCCTGTCCAACCACTTGAGAGGTGTTCAGGAGGGGCGCCGGCGGCCAACGCCGCAGTTCAATGACGACGGATCATGAACTGGAAGGCCCTCATACGCCAAGTGGGAGCCGACTGCAGTCAAGGCCGCGCAAGGGCACGAAGACTGGGTCATCGACGCATCGGCAATCGTGCGATTTGCCATAAGAGATCTATAAGTCTATACTCTCGACGACGATTTTGACGTCGAGAAGTTGGATCGGGGCTATCGTCCGCGGTTCAACTCAGACCCAGAGACTTCGCACTCGTACACTACCTTTCCCCGCATTGCGATGCAGCGATATCATCAAAAACGGACTCGTCGTCGGAGGCTTTCCCTGGAAGACCGGGCGCGGGCGCAACTACTTTACGGTCACCCCGCCATGGATTGCCAATATGAGAAAGCTCGCGGGAACGCGAGCCGGTCAGCCGATTTACCTCGCCTTCGACACTGAATTGATGATTCAGGAAGGCGTGAGGCTCTTCCGCACAGATGCTGCTATCCTCTCTCCGGATTGGATTAGCAATACGTTCGCGTAATAACGCCCGGGACGCTTCATTCGTGTGGACAAATCCGGCCTATCCAAAATTAATTCCGGAATGATTACCACGCGTCCATCAAGGGAATTCCAAGAGGCGGATCCGAATCATCCTGCAGCTCCAGCCCAGTATCAGCTTTCAAGACTGGGGACGATGAAGAACTTTATGTTGGTCGACAACTGGAGCGACGTCAAGTCCAAGATTGTCAAGGGCGCAGTCAACATCGTCCGACCACCTCGTGAACTCGAGGGTGTGATCGACGAACTCGCCCAAACTGATGCTCGCCGGAAGGCGCAGCCCGGTGAAGAAGCTGAAATCAGTTGAAGGGATACATGCTCGCACCATGCGCCATCGTGCAGAACTCAGACATTGCTGGGTTGCGAAGTGCTCATCGCAACCGCAACCGGCCATGGGCACGAGTATCCGATGACTACGACCTCGAGCCGAAGGACGTGGCAGTCAATGTCATCTTGCGAATTCCGGTTGAGACTTGCAAGACGCCCTGCGCGGCACCGAACATTGGCAGGGGGGCATTCGCTGTGATTATTGCAAAGCCCACCTGACGGTGTGGCCGGATGCACGCATTGCAACTGAAGCCGCGCGAGCACAAGCTGAGGCAGACTTGCAGCAGACCACCTGCGTCATTGAAGACTTGATCAAGCGGATCCCCAGAAAGGCTCGGCAAACCAAGTCTGCCGAAGAGGCCGGGGACACGGAGCGCAGAGGCGCACGGTCCGCTTTCGGAGTCCTCCGTGATAACGCTAAGGCCCACATCAGGCAGGCCAAAAAGCGTGGAGCAGCCACCTTGCGTGAACAGCTAGAGACCGACCCTTTTTACGCTGTCAATTGCGCTCGGGCAAATCTGACGCCAGACGCATTGGACTTCTTGCAACGGCTTGGCCGTAGCATGAACCCCAAGTTGGGCCGATCTGCCGAGCAGAGAAAAGGCAAGAAGGGCAAGGGCGGCGGCAAAGATGAGAAGGGTGGCGAAGAGCAAGATGAAGCCGAAGCCCGTGCCACTCGCCTGTGCTTCATTTTGAAGCTTGAGCGGGCTGATGACGACCCGGTGAACTTGGCAGAGGAAGCTTTCATAGCACACAAGTGTCGATTCCTGACATTGGCACAATTCGCTACTTATGTTGATTTTGCCATCTTGCAGAAGCACCTGCCTCCTCCGGTAGTCGTCGGCTGGAACGAAAAGACTTGCCGGAAGGCTCGGCCAAGAACATCCTCACAGACCTTGTGTCATTCGCCCGGTTAAATTGGCCCGACGCAGCAAGCGAATACGGGCACAGCTTGACTGTGGTTGAGGGCAAGGCCAAGGGCAAAGGCAAAGGCGAGCAGCAGCCGAAGGGAAAGGGCAAGTCAGAGCCGTACAAGGGCCAGGGCAAGAACGAGCCATCCAAGGGCACGGACAAGGGAAAGTCCAAGGCAATGCCCGAGCGGGTCTACTATGGCGATCCCGAATGGGCTGGCTCTTGGAGCTATTTGTGGATGTGGACCACTTCGAGGGGATGGTACTGGCAGTGGGATCCCTAAAATCCTCAAATCGGCTGCGTTGTGTGACTTCCACGCTAACGGGAACGTTAGCCGGAATGCTTTCTTTCCTATGTTGGTATGTGAAGTATTTGGAGTTCATGTTTGCGACGCTAACGGGAACGTTAGCCGTCTTTACCATTCTTGGCTAATCGTTTCAATAGCGTTGCGAACCGGAAGGTTTGCCGTGTCCATTTTGGCTGGCACGCCTAGTGCATTCATCTTGTCGATATTAATTTACGGCATGTGGCACCATTGGCGCCAAGACTGGAGTGGTAATGCTCCCAGTGTGCTAGGTGGAAACCTAAGCCGTATCTTTTGCCTTTTGCGGCTATTCGCGTTGAGCGCAAAAAGAGCCGAACCTCATTTGCAACTTTCTCCACTACAACCACGCATTCGTAGGTCCAGTATATTGTACATAGTGTCGCAGCCTGTCCTGAGGTCTACGGCGGCTGCCTTTACTGCCTCTTCGGTGCTGCCAGTGAACTGGCGGCGCCGCGGGGAGTATTTTTTTCACCGCTGTTGTACATATACATCGACCATACCGCGTGGACTTTGGCTCAAGAAAAAGGTGTAGCTTTTTTGCTGTTTCCTATCTGAAATACAGCTGTCTCCTGTTGGAGGCCGCTTTTCAATGTCTCAAGGCCTTTGGTGCCGTTGGAGGAACTCTACTGGCCAAAACGGGGCTAATATACTCAGTTCATCATTGAGAAGCTGTGTTACTGAAGCGCCCACTGAAACCAATAACACTTTACCACCTCGGCCGGCTGCTTTGCACGTGTGGGGGCCTTGTTTTTACATGCTGCTGCTCCTCCGCGTTCTCCCGTTTGCCGCCTCCTTCTGCTGCTCAATCGGGCGTCCCTGGTCCCTGGGTCACCTCCGCTGCTTTCCCCTTTACTGTTGCTACCGTCCGCTGGTACGGCGAAATTGCGTTTGCGGTGTCGCTATGGTGTCGCTGTGCCACGTACGGTTTAGCGAGGCCTCGGTGGAATCCGTGTTTGCGCCGTTGGGCAGGGAACACGCCTGCGCAAGCCTGGCGCGTTGCTGATGAGCGGGATGATTGGTAGTGTCAACAAGGCTTAGTGTCGCAACGTTGCATCCAGTATTACATAGGTCACGCATTTGGTGTCGGTATAAACGCGTTTTTCACCGAGACACCGTTACACCGAGACACCGATTGAAGCCGCGATTACACCGAGACACCGAT